GTTTCTGTGTGCGTGCGTGTGTGTGTGTAAAATAATTTCAGTTTAGAGTTATATAAGTTAATCAATATGAGTATTTATTTATTGAGGCTTATTTTATTATTTAAATTGGTGTTTTATTTCTGGAAAAAAAAATGTAAATGACTACAAAAGGAAAGATATTTATTAGTAGAAATTTTCAATTACAAAATTCATATAATGAATTTAGTTTAGTTAAACAATCTTTTAAAATCATAAAGCATTAATCTACTGTTTTGTTCTAGAATAAAGTTCCAGAACAGTGAACATCTATGATCTAAAAAGAGATCGAACCCTGGATTTGTAAATCTTATGACTAATGTATAACCTTCAAACCATTGAGGTGACATCCAGTGATTTACTTCAATCACACTTGACAAGGTTGAACACTATTGATCATGCTTGTTGATGAAACTCATGAATTGATCTCTCAAGATTATTTCCTTGCTTGAAACATCACTGAAACTGATTCATGCTAATGTAATTTAGATATCTGTTTTATTGTATTTATCTTAATCAGATTGTTAGCGATTCTCAATAGAGCAGTGAAATAGAAAATCTGATTGCAGAGCAAACAATCCTTTGGTGTTTTCAATTACAGTTTATCTAAATATTAAATCGATTGAGTCAGTCAGTCATTTATCTACAATGTAGGACCAGTCACATATCAGAATCGGTCCAAGTTGCAATACCTTACTAACACAAAAGATGAACACAGCAATTAATTCAATAGTAGTAGTAAATTAGAAAATAAAGTTTCATATCAGTATATAATACAGGAGAAAAGAAGTAGTTTGTAAAATTAAAGGTTTTAATGTAATTTTATTCTCACAGTTTAGGGAAAGACAAAGAATGTATACACCTATGTCATTTTGATCGATTTTTTGATCCATGTCACCTAGAGACTCCAATCACTGGTTACGATAGTTGCGTAAATTAAATATTGTAATTTGTCAGTAGGAAAAAAACGATTTTTTTTATCCTTGTAGTTAATTACAAGTAATGTACTGAGTAATTAAATATTACTGGTTCCCAACATTTACATATCAACCCACACTGATTTCTTCCCTACTTCTTTATTTATTATTCATTAACTGATAATATTAATTAGGTATTTCATCAAATTAGTTAAATACTACTCAGTTATATATGATCCTTTCTTCTCATTAACTACCATTATTAAGTCTTTGAAATTGTTCCGACTACTTTTAAAAATTTTATTATAACGAAAGATGGGTATATCATGTCAAGAACTAAATAAAAACAACTCGTGTATTTGACTTAGATAAACTTATAATATGTGTTATATAATATTTATATACAATAACAATGAATGTATAAAATCACTATGATTAACCATCTATTGATACATAATTTTAATTAATGAATTATAAAGATCGTACTTCATCTGAATAAGCTGGAGTGTCTGCAGTCAAGAAGATTTAAACTGTTGGCAGACTAGAATGGAATAAATATCACGAAATAGATTTTTTTCGACATACTCTAAGTAAACATTTTTTATTCAGGGTGATTTAAAAGAGAAAATGAAGCATAATATATATAGACATCATATAGTAAATTAACAGTATTAATTGTACTTTTTTTATTTTCAGTTGAATGATCAAGTAAATTAACTGAATAAATATCAATATAGTTAGATCTATATTTACAATAGAAATGAAATTTTTTTCTTAATGCGTAAGATATAGATCTGTTTCTAACAAAATTACGATAATCATTTTGAAGAAACAGGTTTAAAAAAACCGGTTAAAGTTAAATAAGTAAATGTCTGGATGATTTATAAGACAATAATAGTGAAACCTTATGAACAAGTTGTTGTTCGATCTTAAACGACACTATACCGAGGATTAGTGAGATGTTCAAAACTGGAAAGATAAAGTTAAGCTGTAACAAAAAATAACTTTTGAAGTACATGTAACCTGAGGTTAGTTTCCATAAACTTAACTGGACTACTCGATACACTCAAGAAATTTCAATTAAAACAATAAATTCATGCAATTATTTAATAAAATGATTAAATTTAAATCAAATGACCTTTATTGTTTATAACAGCATACTGTTATTTAAGCACATACTTTCAATTAACTAATAAGAAAGAAACGTTACGAAAATTTATTATAAATCAACTGCTTATATTCCTAACACAACCATTATAAAACTCGTAGTAAGTAGTTAAGAGTGAATATTTATGAACAGCTTTTATAAGGAATAAGGTATTAAAGGTCATTAGACTAATCGTTAAGATAATTTTCTAAATTGTATCTGTGTGTTATAAAGAATTTTCATACACATAGTTCCCTTTATCATTTTGAAAAGAGCAAGAACAAACATTCTAGCAGAATAGCATGAATTCACTTTTATTTCGTTGGTTCTCGTCAGCTGCTTACAACCTGTGATATTTAAAATTATAATTACATAATGGGTTTAAAGAATTAACCAATTGATTCTTCATTCTTCTTTTTGTCACGTTATGCTTAATCAGATGAACATTGTTTACTTGAGTTGTGTTTCCCATCATGTTTTGTTTTGACTACTAATACCCTTATTATTTTTTTGTTTATATTTTAAAAAGTTGACTCAATGAAAATTACCCTAAAAAATCTTTGATTTAATGTTTTGTGTGTTAATTACTGAAAAATTGTGATAAGCAAGAGACTAAGATGACGAGTTACAAACAGGACAAAACGTGTGTCCTGGATTCCACTGCTGGCCATTATTCATCTTTTTTTGTAATGCTTATAAATTAAGGCAATATTGAGGCAATACGCACAGTACGCACATATGCCAATAAGAGACTGATCGATTGCAGTCCTAAACGGTAATGGGAAGATTCAAGTAAATAATATTAAGTGAAATTAATATTACATTCAGTTTAGAAAAGAACAGGTTATCACATTATCTGTAAGAGAAAATCAGTTTTAAGGAAGGTGTATTCATTTTTAATAGTTGGAATAATATGTGGGATTAAGGATAATATTTTTAATGTGGAATATTTTCACACTAAATCTTTATATTTTATTATCTTTACTTAAGTAATACATAAATGCGCAATGTTTCATGTTAAAGTATGCATCATCACTGACAGATTCTAAGAGTTTATATAAGAATTAAAAATATCTAATAAGTAGAAGTAATTTGTAAACTTTCTGTTCATCATGTGAATATGACTGGTTGTATGGAATTCTCAAAGCATTTTATTAATAAACACAAATCACTTAACTGATCTTTTAGTTAAATTAGATCAATCTACAATTTTATGTCTAACTTAAAACTAAAATTGGAATTGAGTTAAAAATTAATAATAACATGTTATTATTCGACCATTTAAGCATAGTACAGAATATCAGTCAAACTTGAAACATATTTATTACAGATGCTTTGTTTCCCAAAAGATAAAGAAATACATCATGATTCAATATACATGTAAATTGGATAATTCAATATAAGTTTTGATTCTTTTGTCGTATTATCTTTAATGGATTACATGAAATCGATTAGTTTCAGCCAATCCGCATATGCATTTATAAAGCTTATAATTTAAAGAAAACTTACCAGTGACTAATGTTTTTTTATACTCTACTCTATACAAAATATTTCAGAATAAATGAAGATAAATTGCCCTGAGAGGTAATGGTATGTTGATGTTTACACAATAGATAATTAAAATGTAAGGTTAATGATCGTGAGATAATGGGAAATATTGATAACTCAGGATAACGATTTAATAATCAGTCTTTTCATATTGTTACATGTAATGAAATGACATAAGTGATTTATTTATGTGACATAACTTGCCAAACATTGACTTTAACTCTTAAGCTTATCAAAAGACTAGTATTTGAATGAAGAATATTGTTTTCGGTAAATTCTATTCACCTTCTACAATTATCTCATATCCAAATTGATAATCCGAAAAATAGTCAGCTTAAGGGCAAATTACATCGTTTAAAGCATGTGAATTTTGGATTGTGATAAACAAAATACAATAAAATTGTTAATGTTAATATGACTCATATAGAATGTTAACTTGAATCTGTGTTTATCTTAAGTGAAATTTTAAGATCCATGATCAGAATAAATATGGGTCAAATAGGGTGAGAGAGAAATAATAGTGCAATTACAATTCGGTCAAATACATATTGGAAGGCTATATTGCGTGAAAAATTAGTAACAACAATCCTAGTTTCACATGCTTTAAACGATGTAATTTGCGCTTAGCCAGGTCATTTTTCGGATAAACAATTTCGATATATAATTGTAGAACCTGTAGAGAATTTATTGAAAAGAATATTCTTCGTTCAAACACTAGACTTTTAAAATGATGGAGATGTTTAAACGATTAAAGGGTTGTGAACAACCCATTGTGTTGAAGGTGCTCAACGAGTTCCTGAAGTATAACGTAAAGTTCACTGAAACGAGAACTACTCTTAAGCTTATTGTTTAATATGCACGATGAAATGTCAAAATGCAATCATCAACTAGTTACAGTATTGTAAAGCTCAGGAGAAAAATCTTATGACAATAAAACACTACTGTTACTTCATCGTTCTCTACCACAACACTAGTTTATATGGCATCCATCACAGTTAGTAGATCATATTTTACAGGTATCAATATTTAAGTATAAACTTCAGAAGTTTCATTTAAAAGAGTATGTTTTCAGATAATTCATGTTCTAGAGTTCATCATTAAAAATAGATTGCGATGAAATATTTGTTAGTTGAAATGTTTATATATTCTGTTGCATTGGCCTTATCTATTTAAAATTTGTCATCTTTCAGCAACTATATACAACATTCTTGTTTGATACATTAGGCAGTTATCAACGATGAAAGTTTGATGTTCATTAACACGAGTATATTTAATGAGAACAGTGAATGTGTCTCCATTAATGTTACATTTGTTTTCTTTTAAATTTGAGCAAAATTATAAAGTTATTAATTTTAAAATTCATAATTTCCTAGGTTATGATCGTTCTATACCGGGTTACTCAAGATTCAGAATAATTGGTGATGTTGGACGAGGAGAGCATACATTACAAATTACAGATGTCCAACGTGATGATGCTGGAGAATATGAATGTCAAGTGACTCCAGTTCCGGTTAATAATCATCCATTATTAAGAAGAAAAACATATCTAGAAGTTCTTAGTAAGATTTAATTGAAATATTTAAAGAAAATTTGGATAAATAATGTTTCTCATTGCAAATGTTTTAATTATAATCTTTTATCACACAGTTGCTGACTTATTTTAAATTTGTTCTGTACATCATTCAAACTTTTTTCATTTATTCAGCTACATCCTTGACGGTTCTCTTTGTTTAGCATCCATTAAGTTGATTAATTCAACAACTATCTAAAAGTAAACAACATTGATAGTATGTAGTATGATAGGAAAAAATCTAATTTTCATATGTGTTAACCACTTATTTCATGTATTATGTATCATTATTTATGTACTATGGGTCTTAAACCTTTCTAACAATGTCATCCAAACAGTAGATAATAATTATTATTTAACTATTTACGGCGTTATTAGAACTGTTCACTTTAAAGGATAGGAGAAGGTTTAATCATAGATACAACAAAGTGTACAGGTTTCTGATAACTTCAACAATACTCAAAGTTGAGTTTTTTAGTCCCGTTGTTTTAAAAACTGTTTAAGTTGCACAATTTTCAACATAATCGTAATTTAGGACCTTACAAAATCTTGGTTTAATAATTGTAGATCATCACGAGAATAGTTCTGGTTACAAAATTTCTTCTTGAAATCATGACCATACAAATCAATAAGTTACTTTTCTGTCTCCATCTAAATGTTGAAAATGCGATTAAATACATTTTCAATTTAGTTAAAACCATTTTCGGCATTTTTATGAGGATGGTTAAAATGTAACAAAATATTGTGAAGAGTATTAAAGAAAATGTAATATAATTAGAATAACCAGAAGCTAAATTTTATCATTTCCTTGAAGAGAAATTCATCAATATGCTCAAGATTATTTAATATCTATATATGCATACTTCATCAGCGTGCCTTCAATGAAACTCTGGTCTGATATAAGAATCGATTTCACAACTCCATTCATTTAAAACTCCGAGAAAATCAAAGGTTCGGCTAGGATATATCTATAATAGTTTGATTTTAATCTAAGTTATTCATTTAATCTGAATTTTTAGTGTAACCAAAGACTAGTTGGGTTTTCTACCTACCAATAAATAAGTTACTTTAATTTAATTAGCCTAGTTTATTAAATTGAAGAAACAGCCACTTAACTGACTAAAATCTACAAACCAGAAGTAAAGTAATGATGGGGATATCCTCTCTCACAATCAATTTCGCATCAAAAGTCTTAAACGGACTAAAAGTAGGCTACTATCAAACCGTAGGTTTCATAAGGTTCGTATTTTAGTTTAGCGACTGACACGTTTTCCGGTCGAATTTGGTTGCAAGCTATTCTTCATAATGACATCAACTAGTATGACACTTAAAATCATCATGCACCGGACTACACTTTATTCTTTTTGTCTTATTACTAGACATCTCAGCATTCCCCATCTAATATCTCGTACACAGGACTCGTACCTAGGACCTTCGAACTCACACGGACATTAAAATTCTAGATCACTAAGACGGGATCAAATGGTGATAATGTCTAGCTACAAACAATAGACGATGTTGTGTGAGCATTTTCCATTGTCTTTGATGGATAATTGCCCTACATCTGAATAGTTTATTGAATTATTGAACTTCTCAGTGAGTCTGACAACTTAAGACTTCTTAGTTTGAGTGAAACTGTATATATCCCCAATTTCCGTGAATTGTTCCCTAATTGTCAGTTCTTGTTCATTTGTTATCATTTCTGGAAAAAGAAGTATCATTTCCACAAACTATCATGATAGTGTATTGTAATTTATGTCACTATGACGTTTTACATTTTTTTGAACATTTATTGTTATTATGAGTCACATTCCCATGACTAGTAAAAACTCTAGTTACAAATCCCAAAACGAATAGAAAAAATAATGCAAGACGATAACAAGTTTTTGTTTGCTTTCTTCACTTATTTACATTCAGTTAAGCCGAATGAACCACAGATTTTATATCAAAATGTACAGTTACCAGACAGAAAATTGATTATATCTCAACCAGATCCTATTTTGCGTATTAGTTTAGTTTGTTCTGCAGTTGGTGGCCGACCAGCTCCAAATTTCAAGTGGTTACTTAACCGTCATGAAATACCAAATCTGGAGGTAAAAACTAAAACACCGATGAGTCCTAATGATGTAGCCAAAATGAGTAAGTCATTTACTTTAATTGATTACTTTTTCATTGGACTTGCTACTCTCGTTTAATAAAATAAACAGAGCAAACATAGATTCAGTGCAAACAGACACCTAAAATACGTATAGTTATTTTTTTATAAACTTGACTGATAGTATAGTGCAGATCATCTAATTTAATCGCTGAAAAATTCTCATTATGAACGAAGAATATAATTTTCAATAATTTCTCATCAGGTTCTACAGTTATAAATCCAAATTAATAATCCATAGAATTGGCCATATTTAAGGCAGAGTACATCATTTAGAATTGTAATTTACTTAGTAATTCTTTTAAATGAAGTCAGGTTATTTTTTCGATAGCCATCTGGTACATCTAGTAATAAAGTCATTATTGATCTACCGTTAAGAAAACAATAAGAAATGCCGAAGTTGACAGATATATGCTAAATAGTGATTGAAATGCTTCATGTGCACATTAACTGATTCACAGACTTAATTTGAATCAGCTTTTCTTTACATGATTAAGCAACAAACAGAGCTCTCTTCTAATGGAGAAGAAATACGTGTTAATTTATATGTTTATGAAATGTATGCAGTGTATTTATGTAAACCACAATGTCAGAAGCAAGCTAATTATATTACTATCTATCAAGAATAAATTGTTTAATCACTTGAAAATAAACAACTCTATAATCAAAATGACACTTCATTTTTGTAGTGAAAGTACTTGAACATTTTATCAATATCAGTGATCAGTTACAAGAAATACTATTAAGCTATAGTTTCACATTTGTAACGTTGAAAATATATTCGATTATTGGATTAGTTTATGCGAGAATGAATTTTGAGGTTTCAGCTCATTGTTACTCAATCGAACATCAATTAATTGATGGTTCTATAAATGTACGTCGATGCATAGTGAAATGCATCTTTAAACAGCAAATGTGATTTCATTAAGGGAAGTATACTCACAAAATTTTTATATGAAATTTCAAATAAGGAACAGATTTCTTATAGTCAGTTAACCAATATGTTTGTAACGTGAAAAAATAATCATCACAAGTAATATTTATTTTTATTTGCTTTTAATGAAATTCAAAGTATTTCATATATGAGTTTACTTCTTTATTTCTTCCAGATAATCTGCTTAAAATTTGGGGTAAATTACATCCTATTATCAATAATAAAGAGAATGATGAACAATCTAGTCTAAGTATCCTTAAAGCTGGTTTAGAAGATGGTGATGAAATCGTATGCAGTGTGTCAAACTCTGCAACTCAAATAAATCATGATCCAATGAAACGTAATTTATCAATAACAATTACTGTAGATGTTCATAGTGAGTTGGTGATCATTTTTCTAAATGATTCTATTGTTTTTTGTTTGTTGAATCTATAACAAATAACAAATCGAATAATTAGACAGTTAGTTATAAGTATGTAAATTTATTTTACAAAGATGAAATAATTCTTCCAGAACAATAACAACTGACAACATATACAAATGCTTCCTTTCATTATATTGTATCTTACTAAGCATCAAGAATAATGCTAAAAGACAATATATTGTATATAAATGTAATCAATTATTTAGTCAAATAAAAACTTGTAAACTTCTTTAAGTAGTATAATCGAGTTGACTGTAAAACAGAATAGCACGTTTATTATGATTACGGAGATTATGTAACAGGGTTTCAATAAACAAACCTTAATCCTATTTTATAACAATTTATAATGCTGATATTGAATAAAGGTCAAGGACAAAGAAGGCAGGACAATCATTGAAATTCAAGAACAGCGGAACAGACGGGTAGAGTACTTTGAGGAACTTTTGAATAGACCAGCTCCATTGAATCCAACGAACATCAAAGTAGCACACACAGACATTTCTGTAGATATCAAACCACCAACAATCGAAGAAATCAGGATGGCCACCAGACAAATCAAGAGCAGGAAAGAAGCAGGACGTGATAATATACCAGCTAAAACACTGAAGTCAGATATCGAAGTAACTACAAACATGCCTCACCTTCTATTCAAAAAGATTTGGGAGGAGGAACAAGTGCCGATGGAGTGGAAAGAAGGACACCTCACCAAGATTACAAAAAAGGAGATCTGAGCAAGTGAGAAAACTACAGAAGCATCACACAACTGTCAGTAACAGAGAAAGTCTTCAACAGAGTGTTGCTAAACCGGATGAAAGACTCAGTAGACTCCCGATTTCGAGATCAATAATCTGGATTCTGTGAAGATCGGTTGTGCACAGACCGAATTGCGACACTACGGATCATCGTCGAATATTCAGCTGGGTGGAACTCGTCACTATACATCAAGTTCATTGATTATGAAAAGGCATTTAACAGTGTAGATAGGAGAACATTATGGAAAATTCTTCGACAATATGGAGTTCAAGTACAAGTATTTATCAATAGCTGTCTACGCAAGATATTCAACACCTATTCGCAGGATACCATCAGCAACAGCCTTCTGTGGGAGATAACAAACCAACTTCCAGCTGAGGAGTAAATTAGGAAAAGACGATGGAAATGGATAGGACATACATTGAGGAAATCATCAAACTGCATTACGAGACAAGCGCTAACTTGTAATCCTGAAGGAAAGGGGACAAGAGGAAGGCCAAAGAACACATTACGTCAGGAAATAGAAGCGGATATGAAAAGGTTGAATAACAACTGGGAAGAGCTGTAAAGGATTGCCCAGGACAGGGTTGGATGGAGAATGCTGGTGAGCGGTCTATGCTCCTTCACGAGTAGTAACAGGCGTAGGTAATATTGAAGTAACTACTAACCGAGTTGTTCACTGTTTTGCTTCAATAATATATCATTTTGAGATTAGGCATACAAGAACAAGCTTTTTATAATCTCAAAATCAGTATACTTGAACCATTTCTTAATTTTTCAACACCAATGATTCAGTTATTGAGAATGTAAGGAAAATCAACTATGTTCCTATCTAAATAATTAAACATTGATATTCATGTGATTTATATCACTGCTTTGTTTTTTCATAATCAATGATGGTATTTTAAATATAAAAGTATGATTAGAGTATACATCTAACAGAAATCACAAAACTATTGTTTTGTATAGGTCTCAAAATGCAATGTAAGGATATGAATAGACCAGTAGACGGAGAATGTCATAGAGTTTTACATTTAGAAATGAAAAAAAAACAACATATTGTTGTTGATACACTACATTATCTGGGTATTACTATGGAGTTTTACATTTTCAGTCTATCTTGTCGCCTTTCACTATATATATATATATATATATATATATATATATATATTCATTTTAGACAAGCAACAGTTCAGTTATTGTTTCATTGTTTTACGTGTGTTTGTCTAGTGCTCAAAGATAACTATTAAACATTAGACCAATCGTTGTACTTGATATGCTACCCTTCATCCATATACTGTTAGTGTATATCCACGAAAATTGTTTAGAACATGAAACATGATTTTGGTATGAAATAAAGTCAACTCAAAGATAAGCCAATTAAGTGGATAGATATTTTTATATATTGGTAGTGTAATGATAAAAATCAAAGATTAGTTCTTATCATTTAATAATGTAATGATTGACGAGAGCTACCACCTTTGGATTGGTTGCCTACATTCCTAATACTTTACAAATAATCAGTTCATTGAAACCGTGTTCCCATCAACCTAAAAATAAGGGGTTTGTATATATATATACAGTCTAAAATCTAGTCATTCTAAACTAAAATAAATAGATATTTGTTTATTTGTACGTTTTATGATTCAAATTAAAAATATTTTGTTGCTACCCATTCCCTTATAATTCAAGATGAATAAAATTAGTTGGTTTAAAGTACATTAAAACTATTATACAGCTCACTTACTGATGGAAATAAGTTTAATGCAAAAAACAAGCTTCATACTAAAATATTTTCTTATATCATATTACGGTAAAAACTTAACATATTCACTAGAGTTCATATATAGCTTTCTCACTTTATACAAGAACTGTGTTTATCACCGGATTTTGTATTGGAACACAGTTCTGTTTTCAGGTTCATTTAACTTATGATTAAATGACAATTGACTTTTAACAGCTACAATAAATTCTACGATTAGTTGATGTGAGATTTTTATTAAAATCTTACAATCAAATTACACGGCCGATCTGCTGATTGGCAACATTGTTCTATTAAGCATAATATATTGAAGTGAAACGTGTCACCATGTTCGGCAGCATCAGGATAATATTTTGTTTAGTGGTGAAAACAAGCTACCAGAAATTACACTTGTATCGGTTTAGCTTCATTAAACAATCATCTTGATAACCGTTATTATATAAATCTCAACGCTGTTTGAAATCAGAAGGCAATATGAAACGGTAACTACAGTTTACTACTGGATAGAACGGATAACAAATCTACAATCACATCGAGTGATATTTAATCTATCGACATTTTAACTAGAGGGAGATACGTACACAAGCTGTCATGTGATAAAACGTACATGTCTATACAGATATGATTGTGATCATAATAGTACAAAGAAATATTCAAATTGTTACTGTTCAAATAACATTATCTGTTACGTAAGTTAATAAAAAAGGTTTAACAAAATCAAGCATAGTCGAAATTGATCACAGAAAAGTTTCCATAAACTTTACAACCAAATCCTACTATACAAAACAACGTTAGTCATCATTTAGACATTATCAGAAGGGGTTTTGTGGAGATTTTAAAAATTTCAATAGCTGAAATCATGAGTCAATTGAAGCTAGACTACCATGGAGAATCTGGAAGCACTGGACGGCCGTTTTGTCCTAGTGTGGGACTCCTCAGCATCCACGGTCTCGTCCCCGCGTGATTCGAACCCAGGACCTAACAGTACGCGCACGAGCGCTTAAGCACTGAGCCGGCATCCAACGGTGTTAATGTCTAACTTCACCGATCCGCGAAATTGCGCCACCATACACCAATGTCTTCAGTGAGCTGATATCTTACAACAGACCTGGTTGCACACTGCTGAGGAGTCTCACAATTGGACCAAACGGCCGCCTAGTGCTTCCAGATTTTCCATGGTGGTCTAGCTTCAGTTGACTCATGATTTCAACTATTGAGATTTAGATATTGATAAAAATAAAAACTTATTGGTATTTATTTTACAATAATCAAAAGAGCCGATTTTTAATTTCAGAATAATAAATTTTAAGTTTTATTTCATACAGTTTTCTCTCTATAAATAAAAAAAGCATCAGTATACACAAACACCTAATAATATAAAAGGGGAATGATTGTTTCATTCTCTACAACTGTCTATTTTTGAAATTAACAAAACAATCGTTAAGCCTCATGAAAAATTACAGTGATTAATTCATTAAAATTTATATCAAGTTCATTCTCCATTTAAATACTTTTTAATAATGAGTTATTAGGAGTCAGAGATTTTATTGGTTCAATATTGTACTAAGTGAAACAAGGAGCGATTATTATAAAATGATACTAAACATTAATCTTGCGAAGGTCAAAAGTAGTATCCGATATTAGCTTATAGTATATGTATGAATTATATAAAAGTTTCGACTAGGATAATGATGATTAACTTCCATTCATAGTTTAAACACTTGAGATTTCAGAGCATATCTTCAATCTCTGACACACACACACACTATATGTATATATGACTGACCTTTAACTGTTGTTATTTATATCTGTCTATCTTAACTATATAAACAACCATTTTGGTTGATAAATAATTTAGAAAAACCGTTTTCAGGAAATAACAAACAGTTCAATGAGAATATTTTCTTTATTGCTTCTACATTATATACGTAATTGTGTATTTTCCGCAATATTTTTCAGTGCATTCATAATTAACATACTTCATTGCACTTGCCATAAAGAACAAACAACTTCAATCTTGCCGGCTCAAGATGCATATATATATATTCACGGTGACTACATTTTACTTATTTATTTGTCTGATTATGTTTTTCTTCCCACTAAAATCAACAAACAAATTTGAAAAATGGTTCTTTATCCGTTTAAATTTTGACTAGATTTTCCCTTAAACAGAAATTGATTTCACTACCGATTATTAATCATAATAATGATTCATACCGCATTTTGTATTCGTGATTATCCAACCTCTTTGAAGTAGTATTTAAGATAGCTCTGGGTAAATTATTTATAGTTTGAAAAAGAATCTGTTCTTTTATGTTCATTCTACTCAAAGTTATGAAAAAGTCAAGAAATCAGATTTAACTATCATAAATGTGTTTTTATATTATATTTGCAGCTCCTCCCGGTCCTCCGAAAATCGTCAGTCCTGAATCAAACCATGTTTATCTAGATGGTGAACAGTTACGTGCAGTATGTGTTGCCTCACCACCTGGTAAACCATTAGGTGGACTATTCTGGAGATGGTTAATAAGGACAAGTCAAGTTGATGACAGCGATATTCAGAAAATCAGTGGAATTGGAGGTAGGGGCGGTGCTAGACTCAGTGATTACACATCCGTTGAAGCCTATCTACGAAGTTTGGACAGTAGCAATACTGGTGGTAGTCTGTCGCAGAAAATCGTTTTACCAGAATTATCTCAATTGCAGCAGGGAGATTTTATTTCCGAAGATGTACAACCACTGCATTATACACTTACTAAAGAAAAAGATCAATTAGTAAATACACTGATCATTCAACGAGTTACTCGGAAGTATCATGCTGCTAAACTGATTTGTGAAACCGGACATCCTGTGGGTTCGGCTCATCAAACAAGTATCACAATATATGTGAAACGTAAGTTTTATTTTTCATTATTATTCTGTATTTAGAGATTTCAGGTTTTTAAATAAGTTATACCAGGTTCATATAATTAGTATATGATAGTCTCACGAAATTTCATCAGTAATTAATTAGTCTGCTTTATGGAACTATTGTTCACATAACATTTGATCAATTGGTTTGAGATATACCTATTACCATAATTGATTTATTAATATACAGTAGTTGATTTATAGTAGCAGAAACCAAATATTATGGTGCGCTTTGTCACTTATAGACGAGACATCTGTGAATCTAATAAAACCTAATCTAGCTTCAAAATCTTGATCATTCTAAACTGGTCTGAAGTAATATGTTAATTATTTGTAACTTACTTAATTACGCCTGTTACTACTCGTGAAGGAGCATAGACCGCTCACCAGCATTCTCCATCCAACCCTGTCCTGGGCAATCCTTTACAGCTCTTCCCAGTTGTTATTCAACCTTTTCATATCCGCTTCTATTTCCTGACGTAATGTGTTCTTTGGCCTTCCTCTTGTCCCCTTTCCTTCAGGATTACAAGTTAGCGCTTGTCTCGTAATGCAGTTTGATGATTTCCTCAATGTATGTCCTATCCATTTCCATCGTCTTTTCCTAATTTACTCCTCAGCTGGAAGTTGGTTTGTTATCTCCCACAGAAGGCTGTTGCTGATGGTATCCTGCGAATAGGTGTTGAATATCTTGCGTAGACAGCTATTGATAAATACCTGTACCTTCTTGATGGTGGTTGTTGTAGTTCTCCAAGTTTCAGCTCCGTACAGTAGAACTGCCTTGACGTTCGTATTGAAGATTCTGACTTTGATATTGGTTGAACGTTGTTTTGAATTCCATATGTTCTTTAATTGAAGGAATGCGGCCCTTGCTTTGTCAATCCTCACTTATACATCTGCATCTGAACCTTCTTGTTCATCGATGACGCTTTCCAGGTATGTGAAGGATTCCACATCTTCCAACGTTTCGCCATCAAGAGTGATCGGATTGCTGTTCTCCATGAATTATTTGTAAGAGCTAGAGGAAAATAGAATTCTTTTTTAACGATTTGCTTGATTGGAAATGTAAAGAAATAATATAACTTATCTTAAACTAAAACATAATACGTATGTATCATATAACATTCAACTAGGTGTTGCAAATGTACTAAGAACTCTAATAAGTAAGAAATCCTATGTAGCCAACAAACAAGATGAAAAAGTACAGCAAGTATTTGCTTAAGTATTGGATCGATTTACCACTGAAGTGTTGTGAAAAAAGGATATATGAGGTTTGATATTTTGAACTAGTGCCTTTAACTACTTTCATCTCTTTTTATAGGAGAAATAGTTTACGGCTAGCAGTAGAACCCATGGCAAGTGTTTCGCTCTACTTAGGACTGGTTGGCTGGATATAGTCGGATCCCGGTGCTGTTGTTCCCACTGTGACCCGAACCCAATACGTTTCTCTCTATGTTCTAACCACAATCTATCTCACTTATTTAAGCTTGTAAGAAATAACTGTATTGAGATAATCCGTACTTTATCCATATATACCAACTTAAACTGTTCTCAACTCAGTAGAGAATGGCAACCTTGGGATAATCCAGACACTTAAAAACTAAATTATTTCTCTTCCCCAACCAAGATAAGTTACAGATCAACCTAAAATATTTGGATATTTATAGTGAAAATATAAACAATACATTCAATAGAATAAATTTAACCTGTTTCCGAATTACAAAAATGACCAACTTAATAGCTTTCATACGGCAATTTTAATATAAGTAAAAAACGTACGCCCAATATCTAGTGCTTATTAACAAAATCACTGGATGAATAATCGGGAAAATCTAATACGTTTACATAGAAAAGAATGTATTCATATCTTCAGACTACCGATGTTACAATCCATCTCAGTTGTAGCTGGACATTCACACTTTTTTAATCATGTAATATTTATACTGCAATATGATTACCTCTACACCTTAACTGAAATCTTAACTTTCATTATCGTTTTTAAATTGTTAAATCCCAAGTAACAAAAACAATAGATAATTGATCCTAAATTACTTCAAATTCTATTTTTTTTTATTAAATTCATAAATGAAAATGACTAGTAACTTAATAGTTTTACTGATTTAACTGTAAATATAATGTTAAATTAAGAATATCATTTGTATACATTATATATTAATATAATAATAAAATACAATTAAAATCTAATTCATAATGGAAGAAAATACTTTCATATCAAAATAATTAAATAAATTACATAAAGTACATTAATCAAAAGTGTAAAATAAATCACATAACCATTTCCTTTCTTTTCATAATTTTAACAAACATTCAAAAGATTACAATTGATTGATCACTGGGTGGTGATCAATGTCATGTGTGTCAAGTCCTTCTTAGTGCAGATCGGATGCTATCAACCATGTTGCAATGTGGCCACTAGTTTAGGTGACTCGACGTGGCGTGCACTTGGTCGATAGCAATCGATCTGCACTAAAAAGGACTTGACACATATGACATTGATCACCATCCAGTGATTAATCAATTATGATTACATCTCAGTCCTACAGGAGGTTGGTCGCGGCCCGGCTAGCCTAATGATAACATATGTGACTGTGAAGCTAGGTGACATGGGATTGAATCCGTCAGGGAGCACCAGTTCCCTCAAGATCACAGGTACACCTTGCTGACAAGTGCCAAGTAGCACGAAACACGGGTTCAGGGTCTCCTGTTGACTACTTCCAACCACCATCTAATTCAAAAGATTTAATCTTAACTATTGAGGAAATTGACATTTAAAAATGATAATGATGCTAATACTAGTTTTTTCTTTTAAGAAAACAAAAATTCACAGTAAAAAAATTGTGTACAATATCTATCACCAGCATAAAGTAAAATTATAGTCATCTAAAAGAATAAAAAGAGGTAATCACAATACTTCGATTAAGAAGAGTCAAAGTTATAAACTACTTTTGTTAAGTATGAGTTATGATTAGACTTTGGGTTATATTTAAGGCTTTCAAAATGGGCTTCCTCAAAGGCATCATATACCCACACAAGTGATCTAATATGATCTGGGTTTGAGTGCTACACAATTGATATCTTTAAATTTTTCTCATGTTGTTTCAATTAATGTAATACGTTGACCATTCATAGTTACTAAGGGAGAACGATGTTATTAAAGTTTCATTACATTTTATTGCGTTCTAACGAATATAATGAATTGTTATTAATCATATAAACCATTGTAATTAGTACATATGTATAATAAGACGATAAGATATGATCTAATATTGATAAACAGTAAATAATGTTTGACTTTTAAGATAGAGTATCTACTTGAAGATTAATTTCAGTTAGTTCTTTAGATGTTTTAAATTCTGTTAAAATAAGATTATGATCTATTAAGTCTCACTATTCTTTACTAACAATAAATACAAACAATTTTCCAGTTTCAGATAACTAGGGGTCAGATGAATGTTTCCTAAATCTTCATTTAAACAATAACAGATTCTATATGTTTACGAATGATATCGGTTTATAATAAATACCAATTAAATATCGAACTAGTCTTTATAAAACTTGATAACCGTAATATATTTTATAGAAGTGTAAAAGAGTTCAATGTTTCATCATTTCTTGATTTCTAACCAATTGGTTGAATTAAAACATTCTGTAAATAAATCAAAAACAAACCATTTTATCAAAGTAATTAACATAGATAAAAGTGTTTTATAAAAATTCTATTCGATGTGTTATGATGTCATAATTTGATTTATTATTTTGATTAAATCTGTAAACTTGTTTATGGCTTTCTTTTTTAAAGGGATACACAAGTACATAAGTACAAGTTTACCTGTCGATTGATTTTACCAATGATAATGATGGATTTATAGACAGGAAAAACAAAAAAAAAGAATTTTTCATTAAAATAATTATAGATATTAGAACAATCATAATACATAAGAAAATTAGATTGTATATACTATATAGAGTACTTTAAGTATTTTAGGTCATTCAAGTCACTCGATTAAACCTTTAAGGGATTTGATAATTAAAAAATATTTCAATTTACTATTTTATCATTTATGCTTCTTTAAATACAAAGAATCAGTAATTAATCAATACAGGATTAATATAAATTTGATGTATAGAAGTCGTAGAGAAAGCATTACCCAGTACCTCTTAGAAAACTGTATCTATGGGACAGACTCATATTATTTTATTCTATGTGATTGACAGTAACTTATAATTATAAAAATCGTAACGTTTATTTATACTGTTCCTCATAAAGAATCATGGATCAAAGTTAATTTAAATGAACTAGATTTGATGAATAAAATGAGAAGGATAGAAGTTCTGTTGATTTAATTCAACGGTTAATTCATTGATTTATTTGACTTGATGTAATTGACAAACGAATTACAAAGCTAAACTTCATTTCTGAGCAACTAGTAGTTGATTGATTGTGACAAGTAAATGTTTGTTCACTAATTTACAATTAAATATGAAAGTACACTTTGAACTAAGACTGATTTACTCTCAGTACGTTTCCTAGCTTTTTCAGTGTTGATATTTTTACTCAACTGTTCTGATATGGCGTAGCAACTTAAACTGATGCGAACCTATGTTAGCTCGTACGTTGTTTATGACTGACCTAAGAGTGAGAAAAACTGAGAATTAAATTAACTTGCATTAAATATAAATTTATCCTGAAGTGATGTTATCTTTAAAATCACTGAAGAAGTGAAACATGTGTAGCTCATTTTTATCATCATGAAACTACCCAACTGTCCTTACTTGTAATTTAATCTTATACCCAAAAGTTTCTTAACCATTCTTAACATATACAACGTTGAAATTTCTAGCAATTAACAAAACTATAAACTCTGATTTCGTTATTTGCAAACATTTTTCCAATATGTGAGGTAAACTGTCATCAACTGAATGAAATTCATCATTCTGACTAATGTTGTTAACACATTAATGAAG